CCGCCCCCCAGCCCGACGGCGGCGGCGCTGGGGCTACGTCACGGCGGCGCGACGGCGGGCCGCGCGTGGGAGCGTCTCCAGGGTGACTCGGCGGCGTGGAGCGGTGTACTGTTGGGCGCGGGGCGCAGAGCTCCACGACGAGGCAGTGACGCTGGGAGGAGCGGAGATAGAAGTAAAACAGGGCGTGGCGGAAGAAGAGGGAAGCGAGAGTGGGAAGGTGGGGCGGAATGAAGGACGAGGGAGGTGGCCGGAGCTCCAGATGGCCCCGCCCTAGAAAGAAAGCTAGCTCCCATTTCCTACAAAGTTCGGCCACGGAACTCTCCATATCTCTTTCTCGAGGAGAGGACCGAAAAGCAAAGTGGCCTGGGAGAATTTTGCTCTCTGGAAACTTTTGTTTGTAAACTAGATCCCAGCTCTCGAAGTAAGCGGTGTCCCTTGGGGAAAGCTACTTCACCTCCTCGGCCCTCAGTTTCCTTAGACAGAAATGACAGCACCTGCCTCATCTGTCTATACTATACACTCATATGTATATACACACATATATATGCCAGGATTACGTTAGTTTACAAATGTGAAGGGCTTAGATCAATTCATGGCACATAGTAAAAACTCCACAAATGTAAATAGTAAGCTGTATAGAATTTTCTTAACTCTTTTTTGAATATCCCATAAGAAAAAATGCTTGGCCAACGTCCTAACTTGTATTCAGAAGACAAAAACAATACTAGACGGTTGTGTAATTTAACTGGAGTTATCCACCACCATCGCATTTTTAACATCTTCAGATGGCATAAAGAAATTTTCTTACTTTCATAGTGACAATATAGTGCATTTCTTAATTCTCTTAAATCTCTTGTTTCACTAAATACATATTCAAATAATTAAACAATACAATGGACATTTTTTCGTATTGATACAATCAGTTTCTAATAAATGGTCAGCATCAAGCACCTCTAATGAGTCATTCAGAAGCCTATCATTCAGAATTAGAAAAATCTTAAACCATGTACTTGAAATTACTACTCAGGGGAAATTTGGTTGCATACATTTACCAGCATCCTTTTTATTCTTATCTCTTTTTTTTAACATTCTTTAGAGTGTCAAGCTCATAGTGTGCTACATTTATGATATATAGACTGAAAGAATAATAGCAGTATAAATACCTCTCAAGATCTAAGGGTCGGGAAAACTATGTTCTAATTCTTAATCTGACCACAATTTGTTATGTAATCTTTTTTTTTTTTT